TGGATGAATGCAAAATACACGATTTGAAGGCTTTTTTTTCTTTTTCTTTTTTAGATTAACAGTTGGAAATCTAAAATCTTGCTCTTCTGGATGGCTTTTTCTGCCAATCATTCAACACATAACATTTACATAAAGAGGTATACACAAAACCAACAATTCTGCCTTTTTAAAGCAAAAACAACAAAACCACCTTTTACTCCCGGAACCTCTTCTGTATTATTTACTTAGCTATTAGCACTTACCCTGAGATGTGCCATAAATGCTTTATTCCAAATGTATAAAAGCCAACCACATCTCAACTGAGAATTAAACAGTTTTAATGTCTTCAAATCCATGTTCCTGCTCCAAACCCTAATACAGACAGTCACTGGCAGTGGTACAATAGTTCTAAACAGCAGACATCTGATTCTTGACATTTAAAAATAACAATATTGGGAAAAAAGGGTACTTTTTTTTTTTCAAATTAGCTACAGCCTGTGAGTGAGCACATATCACCAATTGATTGTATTAACTGGAATTAGCAATGATTTCAAGCTATACTGTTTGATTTCTAAGTCCATGTCAGGCAGAGGCTAAATAGCTAAAGTTTCTCACTCTTCACAGAATCACGACAATGGTCTAAATTAATTCTAAATGATCATTCTACAAAGAGGGAATCAGAAATGTGTTATTATTTAGATTTTATTATTACTGAATATTAATTGAACTTTGTTCAGTCATCCTTGAATCAAATTAAGGATATAGTCATTCATTCCACTGCTAATTTCACATCCATGCCCTCAGAGCAGCAAGCACACATGAGGTCAAATGCACATACATATTTACTACAGATCAAAACTAACAATGAAATGAAAGAAATACACATTTTTTTTCTGTTTCTAAAACATATTATGGAACTGGACAGATTTGAGACCAAGAGTTAGCTTCTTCACTTATTATATCTGTGTTCCTGGGCAAATGATGTAATTTTTTGAACCTATACTTCGTTATCTACAGAACTCAAGTTAAGTACTAATTACTTTACCAAGGTGTGTTGGGTACTAAATGAGATATAGATTATTTCTGGCATGTAAGTTATTTGATATAAATCACTTTCTCTCTGCTTTGTATCTGGAGGGGTGGGATCTTCATAGGGCCAATGGAGAGAATACAGATTTCCAAGGCTCATGAATCAGTTTTGACTTACCACGTTGCCTCATACTAGTTGTGTGTCCTCGGCAAGTTATTTAATGTACTAAATCTAAAGTTTCCTCAACTCCAAAATTATCTATAGAGTTTGTAGAGCAAATTAGGCATATTTGGGGAACATCTACTTTTAGTAGGCATTGTGGAGAGTCCCAGGCCTTCCAACTCTGGAAAATGGTTCTAATTAGTGCTCTGACACATGTAACTTACACATTTTAACATTCAAGTGCCCCATTTTCTAACAGAGGAAGGAGGCCCAGAGAGCAGAAAGGATGACCACAGGCTATGTCACTAGTTAGTGGTAAATAGGGACTAGGACACTAGTGGAACTAGTAGGACAGTGCTTGTTCCACTAAATCTCCTGATTGTCGATGTTAAACACACTTGTAAATCAAGCTTCAATATTAGTTGATAATTAAGGCAAAATAACAGGAAAAAAAACCCTCTTTGTTTTCCCAAGTTTGTTTATAAAAATGTGCTTATAGATGAAATTGTTCTATGGGATCCAGATGAAGATAGCCAGATCTACTTTCTCAGGAAGAGTGTCCATGGCATTGCAGATTCTGCCTTGCCTGGAAGCAAGAAAGAAGTAGGAGCCCATCTTCAGGAGGCATTTCCTGTCCCCTTCCTTCCCCATGCGAATGCATAGCTCTTCCTTCCATTCTGTGCAGGAACTTGTCAACTTCAGCACAGTGGCTGGGAAGAGCACATGTTCTACCTTTTGGTTATTTACTCTTGTACTACCTCCCCACACTAGGGGAGAAATAGAAATAGAAGAGTTTTACCTCTTTTAGCTTGAAAGCCTTGCATAGAACAGGAACTCAGTAGATATCAGCATTTATTAACTAAAGTATGATTTGGAGTTTAGTTTATATTTAAAAGATTGAACTAGCTTGGTTCAAGATAAATTACTACCAGTGTAGAAGAGAAAATAGTAACTTTTTCAACTTTTCAATAATTTCAAAATTAAAACCCAAGTTGCCTTGTATATCAAAGACAGATTAATTATTACTCTGGAGAGGGAGGGATGGAAAATGGGATTGAGGAAGGTATATGACTGATCCACTAAAATTAATATTTTATTTTTCTAGCTGGGTGAGATTTGGAAAGGCATTTGTTATATTTTACTTTTTTTTTTTAAACATATTTCTTTAGGCCTCAACTGTTTCATTAAAAATAAAAAGTGGCTTAAAGAAGGTAGTTTGAAAACAGAATTTCCAAATCTTTGATACATGAGCTCCAATAATGCTGTTCTACAAAATCCCATACTTAAATCTGCAATATGTCATCCTCATTTTAAGTGAAGAACTTTTAATAGCAATGTTTAGTTTAAAGATTTTATTTTTTTCTCACTCACCGTTTCTCATGCCCTCATTTCAAGGGTTATGCTGGGGCATAAGAGGGAGAGTGTGGCCTTGTCATCAAGTGGATTCAGTGTAACAGTCCGCTCTGCAACATACAGGCCACGGGACTTTCCGTCACCTGATATTTCTAAGTATTCTCTTGTAAGAACTGAGAATTATTATGAAAATTAAATGGAATAATTATGTGAAATGCTTGCCATAGCATCTGGCAATCAGTAGAGTTTACAATGAGTACTGTTCCCTTTTTTTTTCCTTACTCTGAGTTTCCACTTTTCACCACTACTGGAGACTTGTTACTTCAAAAAGTATGGGGAAAAAAGGACAAGAGGAGAAGACAAAAGGAAAGAAAAATGAATTTAAGGTAGGAAGAATGCAGGCAACTAGGTGAGCATAATGAAAGCATTCTTTATAAACAAAGCTGATGCTGGATCATGTACAACATCCTTCCTTAATCTAATTCTACTCATCCAACCTTACCACTACTTATGAAAATACAGGATTAAAAATTTTGTTTTTGTCACTAGTCATTGAACACAGAGAATATGTTCTATTCTAGGCTTTCTGTGCCTTTATCCACCCTTTTTTTCCAGATAGGATTCCTTATGGGAATACTTTACTTTCAGTGGTGGGTAAGGTTTCTTGCTTGAAGACTTTTAAAGCCTTCTGTTGCAAGCTTCACACTGGTCACATCTATAAATTAAGATTTGGGTTCTAGCCCCACCACTGCCACATGCTGATAGTATAACCTGCTAAGTCTTTACTTTGAGTCTACTTTTCAATATTCTAGGTGGGCTAGATATTCCCTTTAGTTCTAAAATTGTTAATAGTTGTGGCAATCTTGCAGTAAATTAGGCAATAACACCTTTGGTGGGAAATACTGACCATATAATTGTATGTTATTTGTAAAAATTATCCACACATTAATGACTTCTTCTGAACTTGGGGGCATGGACTCTGCCACTGTCATAGCCTTTGGACTGCCAGCCTAGAGGACTTTCAGAGGGGAGGCACTCCCACAGGAGCCAGATTTGTTAGGAGTTCAAAGACAGCAAAAGAGTCCTTAGTGAAGACTTTTTTTTATTTCTTTTTTTTAGGGAAGGGAAAAGATTAAAAAGATTACATCATACACTTACAGTCCACTAGAAACAGGTTTTGTTTTTGTTTTAAGATGGGGATAACAGAAGGGAACAGTGAAAAAAGATACTCGGAAAAAGATAAAAGTGAAGGTCATTCTTGTGGAAGGCTGCGTTTTGGGCAGTGCCCCCAGCCCAGAATATTTCTATTCAGGTGAAATCTGAGTGCAGAGTGAACTGGAGGACAATGGGAGAGACATGCGGGGCTGTGGAGGGGAGAGCAGCCTGCTGGCGTCTATCTGTACATGTGTGGGCCTGTGGAGGGGAGAGCAGCCTGGTGCAGTCTATACATGTGTAGGACTCGGCACTGACACTAATTACATTCTACTGCACTGAGTCTTCCCCCTTCCTCCTCTTTGCTGTCCCAGGCTCTGCAGCTGTGCTTGTCAGGTGCCCTAACTGGTTCCATCTCCTCCTCCATCTCCTCAGGGCCCAGGGCATCATTCTGGTTCACTACGCACTGGGATGGGAAGGGGCGCTCCCTGGGGGCGTGGTGAATGCTGGGGATGGTGATGACCATTGCAGTCATGAAGACCCACGTTGATTTTCCCAAATCAACAGCTTCAGTCATAATTTTACACTTTAAAAATAAACCCTGATAGAATTAAATGCCTTCCAAAATTTCAAAGATCACTGTTTGTTTTTTCAAAGATTGCTTCCATAAAAAGTATTTACTTGAGGGGCAGAGAGAAAGAGAGAGAGAGAGAGGAGAGAGAGAAAGAGAGAGAGAGAGGAGAGAGAGAGAAGAGAGAGAGAGAGAGAGAGAGAGAGAGATCCCATCTGCTGGTTTACTCCCCAAATGCTGGGCCAGGCTGAAGCTGGGAGATGGGAACTCAATCCGGGTCTCCCAAGAATTTGTCAGGAACTCAGCTACTTAAGCCATGACCACTGCATCCCAGGGTCTGCGTTAACAGGAAGCTAGAGCTGGGACTTGCACTCAGGGAAGCAGGTGTTTTAACTGTTAGACCACCCCCATCATTTACATTTTAAAAAGGTGGATTTATTTTAGAATTCTGCATAGCCTCTCCTTTCTTCTATCTCATGATCCCTCACAAAAAAGGAACACAGAACAGGAAGAACTTTTGTCTTTACGTAGGAGGGTAGGCTCTGGTCTCTTAGGGTAACTGGATGTAGTTGGTAGCATTTGTTCCCTTTCATTTTCCTGACAGGAGCACGTAGCCACAGAAATGCTAAATAATGTGCCCAGGTTCACACAGATGATTCAGAGAAGAGCTAAGGCTGTAAAACACAGGAAAAAAGCCCACAGAACAAGATCAGGTAGGCCTCCCAAGCATCCTTCCCCCGACATAAATGGTACCTGCAGGTATTGGCAGGAGCGCTCTTGTTGACATGACTCAGATTTCACCATGGCCTGGTCCACGTTCACCGAGGCCTTCTGGTAAACCTCCCGGGCGCGGCTCACTGTGAGCGTGGAGGACCAGGCGCTCTTCTTCAGCAGTGGCGCGTCCAGATGGACCGGTAGGTTGGCGCAGGTGGAGCACTTGACGTCATTGTTGCTCCGGGAGGCCTTCACGGCCTGCTCGCTGATGGTGTTGTAAGCCTCCATGAAGTACTGCGAGGTGGAGCGGTCGGGACACCTGCCCATGGTCATCACCCCCGAGGGCGCATGGTAGATGCACATATCGCTGTCGAGGTTGTCATCGGAGCTCCACCAGCCCGGGGAGGTGGTGGACCGGGCCTTGGGCTCGGTGCGCCGCTCCTTGCTTTTGCTGCGCTTGCTGTACCGCACGGTCTGCGTCTCGTCGGGGCTGGCCTTGCCCCCGTTGACGCTGCCCTTGGACGGCCCCTCCAGCGAGTGCGACTTGGTGAAGAGCTTCTGGACTGAGTGCACCAGGTGCCGGATGCGGCCGGGGCTGTCGCTGCGGTGCTCCACGGCCGTGCGCTTGTACTGCAGCGTGTGGTAGCCATCGCGGCCCAGCGGCAGCTGCCTCTCGAATTGGTCCAGCAGGTTGGCGGGGATGCGGTTCGCCTTGGTGGCCAGCGTGCGGGGCACCAGGGCGCACTCGTCCTTCAACTCCTGCTGCGACGTGTAGTGCCTGCGCGGGAAGGTGCTGCTGGCCAGCGGGTCGCTGAAGGGGCCCACGCACTCGGCCTGGAAGGAGTTGCGCTGCGTGTAGTAGGGGTGGTCGGCAGGGTGGTGCTCCACTGGGCTCAGCAGGTAGGGTTTGCGGTCCGAATGGTGGGACAGAGAGTCGCAGGCAGCAGAATCGCAGGTGACCCCGTGGTGATGGCTGCGGTTGCCCGATAACCCTTTCATTGCTGCCGGGAAGCAGCCACTGGGGTCATGGACACCCCGTGGTTAGGTTCCAGACCCCTTTCGGGCGAAGACCTGAGGGAACGAAGAAGAAGGGGCAATGGTTAACACATCCTTGGGGTATACAACAGATACTGTTCTCTGACCTTGTATTCCCAGTCCCTGTTAGTATCTTGAATGATTGTTGGGAAAGTGCCATCAATTTTTCAAAGCATCAGTGGGGAGGTGGTAGGGATAATAGCTAGGATACTGGGGAAAGAACACTAGAAAGTACAAAACTTTTTCAGAATTGAATGAGTAATTCCTCCCTCCATGATTTCAGTAACTGAAGGTACCTTTCTCTGGCTTCCCTGGTTTTACTTTTAACCAATGTTAACTGTAAAGACAGCAGACCCACAGGGCTCAGGGCAGCCTAGAGAATTAGCTTCCCTCTTGTTCTTCCACCACTCTCCAGAACCTACAGAATCATCCACACCAGGCTCTCTTTTCCAGCTGAGATTCCTTGCAGGCTGGACCACCTCATGGTCTTGTCTACTGCCCTCTCTGCCCAGCGCTGAGCCAGCCATGTGAGCACTCCATAAATAGGCGCAAAAACACTTGAGGACTAAAAGAAACCACTGGCACTTTCTTTCTTTAGGGTGCATCTTTATATCTGTGTCATGTGCTTTTCCTTTGGAATTCTATAGTTACAATGACAGCAGTCAAAAGACACCCCCACCCCAAGTTAGTCAAGGTGGAAAGAAGCAAAGATGTGGCAAGTAAACCAGAGACACAAATGAAACACGACCATCTATTTCTGGCATCCAAGGGTCAAGAGCTTCCTTTAAGCAAACCCAGAGCAGATGAAGAATAAAGAGGCTTGATTGGGCTAATTTTAGTATCATGTCATCTCCACTTCCTGGTTTAAAGTTTCTAGTTAAATGTTCATACGCAATGGCCAAAAGAAAGGCCCTTGGAAAGGTTCAGAGGACATGAGTACAGGACTCAGGGCTCAATGGGCAGCTCAGCCTCAGGGTCACTCCTGCGGCTTCCATGGGGTGAACCTGGTTCACACCTGAGGTTAGGTCTTCCTCAAGCATGAGCGATTGACATCATGGTCCTAAGGAGCAAAGTATTTTTTTTTTTTTAACTCCAATACAGTGTGTTTTTCTGTAGCTGATCAAGTTCCTACCTACAGCTTGATTTTGTAAAAATGCTTCCTATAAGTCCAAAAATTGTCATATTAAAAGTCATCTTGAAAAGCTAATGCAACTTGCCAAAATATCACACATGTAATTTCAAATATTCAAGGTGAGACAGATAAAAGTTTAATTAAAAAAAATAAAACACCCACACCTAGCCTAATGAAGAAAGACATGGACCTTCAAGAGGTCAGGTCTTGTCTATTTGATGGGACACACTGCCCCTGGGAGCTCATGACAACACTGACAATGTTGACAACCCCTATCCATGTTTAATACAGCTCCCTTCTTTTTGGTCCTCAGTTTCTGGATTAATCATGCAGGACTACTGACAATTTTAATCATTGGTTGGAGTCTCTTGAAATTGGTCTACTAAGTTACAAGCTCCTTGAGAGCAGGGATTACGTTTCATACATCCAGTGTCTAGCAAAGATTCATCACTATGATGGTGGGAACACAATAAATATTTACTCAGTGAGGCCGGTGCTGTGGCTCACTAGGCTACTCCTCCGCCTGTGGTGCCAGCACCTCCGTTCTAGTCCCGGTTGGGGTGCCGGATTCTGTCCCAGTTGCTCCTCTTCCAGTCCAGCTCTCTGCTGTGGCCCAGGAAGGCAGTGGAGGATGGCCCTGCATGGGAGACCAGGAGGAAGCACGTGGCTCCTGGCTTCGGATCAGTGCAGCGCCTGCCATAGCAGCCGTTTGGGGGGTGAACCAACGGAAGGAAGACCTTTCTCTCTCTCTCTCTCTCTCTCTCTCACTGTCTAACTCTGCCTGTCAAAAAAAAAATATTTACTCAATGATTTAATGCACTGATGCAACATTTCCCAATGTGGTCCATTATGGGATCCAAGAGGTATCTGTTTAGTGAAAGCATGACTCTGGTAAGGGAAGGGCCAGGGACAAGGAAGGATGCTGGAGAATCAAGAAGAAACATTTCAGGGACATCCCAGGGACCAGAGGTTTTCAGAGCTGGGCAGGAGGCAAGCAGGTAAACATTTCTTATGCATCAAGTAGCTTTTGACTTCTTACTCCCTACAATGCCTTCTACTTTTCTGAAAGTTCATGTCTGGGGAGTTTTCCTGGTTTGTTGACCATAAGATGCATAGACAGGAGGCCACAACAGGAGAGAGAGGTGGTTGGGAGAGAGAGAGCCTTCTTTGTATGTTATGATCCTAAGAGTAGTCTGTGGCAAGGACATATTAAGAAGGTCAAATACATGTTTTGAGCAAAGTAAAGATTTATTTTATTTGTTTGAAAGGCAGAGTTAGAGAGAGGAAAGAAGGGAGGGAGGGAGGGAGGGAGGGGGGGAGAGAGAAAGAGAGAGAGAGAGAGAGAGAGAGAGATATCTTCCACTCACTGGTTCACTCCCTAAATGGCCACAGACACCAGAACTGGACTAAATCAGACTGAAGACAGGAGCTTGGAACTCCATTAGGGTCTCCCATGTCAGTAGCAGGGGCCAAGGTACTCAGGCCATCTTCTGCTGCTTTTCCCAGGCATATTAGCACGGAGCTGGATTGGAAATAGAGCATCTGGGACTTAAACTGGTGTTTGTAAGGGATGTTGGTGTCATAGGTGGTAGCTTAACCTGCTGTGCCAGAATGCTGGTCCTAGATATTTTTGTCTTTCAAATGTGGATTTAAAAATTAAAAAAAAATACTACCATATTCCAGTAGGATTATAGTCACATAAAAATTCTTGTTACATGTAATAGAATCTCAGTATATAAAATAATGAGATAGTGCTTTCCTTGTAAAGCAGCTGGTCTTCGTTAGACATTTTATACTAAATAAAATGTGAAGGGGCTGGCATTGTGGCAAATAGGTGAAATAGCTGCTTGTGATGCCAGCATCCCACACTGGAGGGCTGGTTTGAGTTTGGCTACTATGCTTCTAATCCAACCCCCTGCTAATGTGCCTGGGGAAGCAACAGAAAATGGCCCAAGTATTTGGACCCTTGTCACCCACATGGTTCCTGGCTTCCATCTGGCCCAGCACTGGTTATTGCAGCCATTTGGGGAATGAACTGGCAGAATGATGATTTCTTTCTCTGTCTCTCCCTCTATCACTCTGTCACTCTGCTTTTCAAATAAATAAACCTTTACCTAAAAATATAAATAAAATGTGAAACTAACAAGAGCTGAAAATGTGAATTATACATATTTACTCAAATGCAGATAATTTTAATTAAGTACTCAATATTTAATTATCTTTAGCAAGTGAGCAGCATTTCTTGTAAGATGATGTTACCTGAGGAGAAGTAGAGCAAATGAAGAGCCTTTTTAAGTCATTTTTAAATGATGTAACCAATGATAATTTCTGTAAGTTAAACCTATAACCGTGATTTTACTAAAATTTAAGTAGGCTGTTTTCAACATACTGATAAGAACCATTTTTTTTTTTAGAATAACAAATCGCATGAAGAATAAATAATTTAACTTTCCTCCTTCTTTACTCTTTTGTAAAGGGATATTGGGATCTTACTACTTTTTCTCTATGATATGGGCCAATATGGTCATAAAAATGGCAATAAATAATCATAAACATTTCCAAATGTCAAATCTGTCCTTCTGATCAAGACCATGTAAGTGATTCAATATGCTAGCCTTTTCCATAGAAAATCTTAATGCTCTCATCCTTTTAAAAAGAAAATAGATCAATTGATTTGATGAAACAAAGCAACACATTTGATGCTCACCTGGTGAGCAAGGGCAGATGATCAAAATTTCAAATGTTTTGACAATGGCTAGATAATTGCTGGTGGCACCTACCAAGGACATTTTGATATTTCTTGTCTTATTCTTTATTTCCCTCTTGCCATAGTCTTTTTTACCCCTCAAATTCTAAGACATTTGTCTCTGTTAACTTTTTCCCAGTCATAACTAATGTGGATAAGTGGCATCCATGGGTACCACCGACTCTCACCGGTTGTGTGACCAACAGCATCAGTAGGAAGCATTAACTGAGCGTGTCTCGTGTGCATGGTCCAGTACTGGATGCTGCAAAGGTGACCAAATGCATTCAGCAAGTCCCTAATGGCTCAAGGGCTTAAGATGTGCTCAGAGAGACATGACCTAGCCACGCAAAAAGGAAATATTTCTACTTATTTCATGAATTCCTGGAGAAGGAAGCTGCTAGCCCCTGAATTAGATTTCAAGTGGCCATAATGACATCTGATAATAGAAAGGGAAATTGCCTTTCATGCCTTGCTCTTTGAGCAAGAATATGGAGTGTGGTCAACTTGCCTTCTTGAGAGTTTCTATGACTACAGTGATTATCTCTGATTTTTCTTGTTCACCACGACTTCAAAATTATGTTTTGTTTTTCTTCTAAGTTTAATTTTATCATCAGATCATATGTCTGCGATTTTGGCTTGAAGGATTTGTTGGCTTTATGAGTGACCATGAGATGAGCTCAGAGTGTGAGATGCATACTCTTTTTATAGCATTCCTACACCTGGAGCAAAAGCATTGCTGTACATGATGACTAAAGCAAGAATGATCAAGTACTGTAAAGGCAATTCTCTAGGTAGATAATTTATTAGACCCAAGGAAACAAACAAGCCACATGTTAGAAGATGCTGACAAGGGGGAAATAGCCTTGCAAAGCTGGCAAGTCCATATTTCACTTTGATTTCTCTGTGTGTCTTTATTTAGAGCTTGTGTTCTTGATTCTTCTTTACGTGCAGAGAAAACAGCCATCTGAAGGTCCTTCCCCACTTTATTCAGTGAAGGCTGACAGGTGAGCAATCACAGTTTGCTTTGGAAATAACATCGTGGAGGACCCTGCCCAGAGAACAGGGAGCACTATGTTCTGGTTTGGGGAGATACCAGGAAGAGGAAACCTCCATGAGTCTTTTCAGGGCCAAACTACTATTTTGGCTTCCCTCCCTTGG